GGATGTTTGACTCTCGCACGTAACGATCCTCGGGAAGTTCACGTGACTATCTATATATCTATTTTTAGCTTTTTAACAGGGTTAGTCAAAGGGAGATAACTTTTGTCTCCCTCAACATATATATACATATATGTATATTAATCTTGAAAAAATTATTAAAAAACACAATAATCAAATTTTAAATCAACACATAAGCCTATGTAATAATCGCCATTCCAAAGCAACGAACAATAATGATACCAACTTTTGTCATTTTAGAAACCCTAATGACTGTCCATTGCAAAATACATGTCAAATTGAATCCCTTGTTTACCAAAATACTATTTCATCTAGAGAAAATCCAACTGATAAAATGTTTATATCGGCAGTATCAAAAATTCTTTTAAATCTAGGTGGTATCAACATATTTTCAACAACAATGCATACCGAAATAGGACGTTCCTTTCTAAATATTTTTGGTACTTCAAAGAAGTTAACAAAACCCATACTGTAAAATGGAAAATATTTAAAAAAAAAAAAAAAAAAAGAAATAGAAGTTGTAATTTCTTACAATCATATGTTTCCTGTGTTTACAAGAAAAAATACATATTATAAAGTTTGCTAAGAAATGAGCGGATATGGAGAGAGGGAGAGGAGGAGTATGATAGAGATGTTCGAAATTAGAGAGGGAAGGGAGAGATAGGAATAATTTTAAATCTATTTTTATTAAGATACTTATGAGTAAAGGAGTTGGGTAAGGACCAGACATTGACCTATTTAATAAGTCATCACACAGAAAACCAGATAAAGAGAAAAAAGAGAAGTAAGGACTAATTTTGAACATATCTGTCGTACTCCTCCTCCTCCTCCCCCTCTCTATATAACCTTACAGCAACTTAAAACTACCTCTCAAAAATGTATAAGAAGTATATAAAAAATTAAAACATTTTTTCACACTTGGAAGTTTGCTCTGATAAACCAGGTAAAAACGACATACCTGGGGAAATAAATAATAACCAATGGACCCTTAAGGTTATCTGTTTAAATCAAATTAATAATTGCTCTGATTTGACATTGAACTCTATGGGTTACATTCTCCCTGGGATTATCCATACGGATTACCAAACCTTTCATTACTTAACTATATATATATTCCGTAAAATCCTTATTGAAAACAAAATTATACTTAAACATGAAAACAAGAAATAAAACTAAATATTCTTGAAGCTATATACATAAAACAGTTGAAACCTAACCTGAACAAAATAAGCTATGAAATCTCCACAAATATCCTTAAATGTCTATAATTGATAACAGAAGCCATTGGTTTATACCAACGGCTTCCCATACTTAATACTTCTCGGTTTCACTCACGCGTAGTCATGTGTGACGTCATGAGCTGCGGTGTGATTTTCGCTTCCAGCGTCTTATATGCACGTGTTTTATCGTTGCTTGGAAATCATCCATGTAAACAGAAACATACTATCATCACTTTCTTGTCCGTGTATTGCTTAATATATTGCAATGTAATTGTCATCTTTGATAATGGCTTATGTAAGACAAAAAACTAGATTGGATTAGAAAATATGTATCAATATTTTGATTTTCTTTCTTCGCTTAATGATAATGTTATTAAGCTTATCAGACATTACGAAAAGAATTCACATAAAATAAATAGACAACACTTGTCTATATTATTTAATGAAACATGTATGAATGAAAAAAAATGCCTAAATACACATAATATATATACACACACACACACACATATATATATATATATATATATATATATATATATATATATATATATATATACAATATATATATATATATATATATATATATATATATATAAAAACAATATATATATATATATATATATATATATATAGTTTTCAATCATTCAGCCCTTTTTCCCATAGACGAAACGTTGCTATTTTCTCGCTACTCTATAGCTATTTTAATGACAGATGTTTGGTCAAGCAAACCATATTCTTTATTTCCACCAATTCAAACATTCACAAGTAGAACCCGCTATATCACGTATACGGAGTCGTTTCATCCCCATTCCGGTCATATTCCATTTGTAAAGAGGATAGCTTCTTCCCCAGAACTGTTGAAATGTGGCACAAACTCCCGATAAGATGGTACCCAGGTCATTACAAACTTAATATCGTCAAGGGTCAATTGTTATCTAGCCTAGATATTCTTATAATATACAACAATTGATCCTTTCCTATACGTATTTTCAACATCCGAAATTTCAGTTATATTAAGCTCTTGTATTGAGTAAACAAAGGTAATATAAAAACGTAAACAAATAAAGCATTCAAATTTGTTTTACTCCTAAGAGACTGATATATAGTGTCTGCTCATCATGGTATTAGAAAGTTCAAATGAATTTATGTACAGATAACGTATGTACCTTAAAAGGAAAATATTTATTTACGAAATGTTTTAAGAAATATGCGATATTTGTAAATATATTTGATTTAACTGACTAGACACATGATGATCGGATGAAATCTGAGGAACCCTGTTCGTGAAGATAAGTTTGAATTCATTATATACGAATGGGATTTGTGATTTAGCAATATATTGCAAATCTTATCAGAGAATCACCGGAAATGGACTGTTGTGGGGCTCTCCCCTTTTTACATAAGATGGACTCGTCCAAATTATACTTACACTGACAGAGAGAATACCTGCTGTTGAGATATGTCGAGATACATTCTCGACGTCTGTCGAACTCTCTGTTTTGGCAGAGAGAAACCCGGACGAAGCTTTGCCGAAGGGCAAGGTTTCGTCCGGGGAGGTAGACAGGCCCTGAACCCGTCTAGGCGGGTTCAAAGGGGATATTTTGGGCCGAGCCTACGGGCTCGGAGAAACCCACTTTAATCTCGGCCCTATGTCACATATATTCCTCGTGGGTGGGATATTAAATACCGAGTTACGTTGAGATACGTGGAGATACTTTAAGATACGTGGAGATACGTTGAGATACGTTGAGACAGGTTGAGAGATACGGAGACAGACACAGGGTGTTCTCAGAGAGTTATGCAAGAGAGAGAGAGAGAGAGAGAGAGATGATAACGGCTTTATTTACAGAGACTTTTACATATACTTTCTACTAACCCGCATTCCTGGACTACTAATCTTCACTTCAAGTCTGTATTCTTACATTTAATACACTTATTTTTCTATCTCAATTACTGGCGTTGTTTATTAATTTGTGCAGGATTCCATTCACGGAATCCACAACATGGACATTAAGGAACATACTCACATCTTTCTATGATTGCTTATATTTCTATGTCTCCACTCTGCCAATTTGCTTTCAACGTACAATTCTTGGGAAAATTGTTTTTGGCAGACCCGTGCCGTAAACGAGGGGGCGGGGGAATAAAATAATTATTCTGCTTTGTATCTTCTAGAAAATCCGGGAATGACACAAATTATATCTAGAAAAGTAACACGACACAATAGCTGATGTTCCGAAATGGCAAGATTTATTCTTCACAGCTTTGAAAGTTATTGTAATATGTGCCGAGAGAAAAAGAAGACACGTGAAATTAGTTCATCTTTTTTTTATATTTTCTTAAACAATAAGCGTGTTTGTTATCTGCACAAAAAAATGAAATCGGCAGACCGAGTTCAAATTTCGGCCCTCTCTGTTGCGTTCCTTTTGAACAAATTTGGTACTTTATGAATCTAAGCGCAGTACTAGATTTGGCAGTTAGGTCTCATCATTTTACAGTTGAAAATGGATAGAGGTGACTGAAACTTCTATGATAATAGTTTCTTCTCGTCCGTGGAACTCTCTTCCGGTCGATTTGTTTTCCGGTCAACTTTGATCTTCAAAAATTTAAATGCAACCTCAATCGTCATCTTCTGTCCCTTTGAATCCTGTTCTTTTATTAAATTCTCTCCTTAATAATGTTTTTCTTTTCCTCATACTCTTTCACACCCAGTAACCCCTTGCGTCTTAGTGGATTTATCGTCTTGTTTGACGCGAAATAATTAAAAATATAAACTAATCGCTTTCAGAAAGGCAAGAATTCCCAATGTATTTCAGTAGGTACTTTGCTTTTGCTGTGTCCCTATGAATGTAATCATTAAAAGGATTACGATTTTTTATTCATTAATTCTATAAATTGTACTTCTGAATTGTATAAATAATTAGTTTAATAAGATTACAATTTTTCTTATTTTATTTTATTTTATTTTTATTTATTTATATTTTTTTTTAAGGTTATTTTAAAACTCTTTTAAAAATGGCTGGCTGATTCACATTTGAAATAACTAAGCATTTATTCAGCATCGCCAACCTCTTTTGCGCATGCTCAGTTATTAAAATGTTTCTTAGTTAATGGATGCAGAATCATAGCTAAGTCAAGCGTACGCCCCTCACGAACTGCGGAGTTCACGACGTATTATAACTTTTGCCTGGCAACTGAAGATATGCGACTATTGTTTCTGCGATTTCTGCATAGATATGGATATTTCTTTTCTCCCAACTTGATATATCTGTCCATTATTGGTAGAAGATACAAATACTTCATCGAATTAAGCGTGGCGACTTGATAATTCATGTCGCCTGTTTCCGAAGTTTTGTCGCGCTTTCTTTCAGTTGTGCGGGATTTTACTTAAAAAAGATTCAATGCATTCTTTCTCACGTTCGATTATATCTATACACCTTTCATAAAAAAGACCCCAATTTGAAAAGATGAGAGTTTTATCAAAAATGGACGAGTTTCGATCCATCATATTGTTATATATCTTCCATAATAAAATGTAATTCAGTATGATTTACATTTAATTATATTTTTCTTGGTGTTTTAAGTTGATCATTTTTTTTGTTTTTTTTAATATGTCATTTCATCAACAACTCAACCAATCTACATATTCGGCGTCACTTATCTGTCGTCTGCGTATGCTCAATCATGGGTATATTTAGCCTTAAAAAGGAATTCGTAAGATACCATAAATAGACAAAATATTCGTTAAAATCTTATTAGCTTTTTTTAAGTTTGCTGCCATTAGCTTTCTCTCTGATGTAAATTCTTTTTTTCTTTTTCTTTTTTATTTCTCCCTTTCGGTTTATTTCGTCACTCCTGTTCCCCTCTCTCTCTCTCTCTCTCTCTCTCTCTCTCTCTCGTTAGGCTTACACTTAGTTCTTTCTCTCTCCCTCTATATATTTCTCCCTCTCTCTCTCTCGTTAGGCTTACACTTAGTTCTTTCTCTCTCCCTCTATATATTTCTCCCTCTCTCTATCTCTGTCTCTCCCTCTTCCTTTTTTACTGCCATCCTATAATACGCCCTCTTTTTCATTGAAGTTGAAAACCCAAGATGACTTTCTGCTTTTCAGTCCAGCATGATTTGACAAAGTTCTGACAAGTGTTTATTCGAAGTGAAAATTCATTTTCAATCGAGAAATAAGAAAAAAAAATATTTAAAAAAAAAAATAAAGAGAGATAAAAAAAAAAGAACAAGATCAACAAAATTTGACAGATACTGATTGACAAAACAAAACTCATTTCTGATATGTTGTTGTTGTTGCCGTTGTTTTCACCATAGTTGTTGTTGTTTGTTGTTGTTGTTGTTAGTCTCGTCTTCATTTGCTAGAAGCACACTTCTTCCTGATAATGACTGGAGTCGACATTCTGTTGCTATTTCTTTTTTATATGAAAGAGAATTTATTATTATTATTATTATTTTTGTTGTTATCATTATTATTAATAATAACAATAATAATTAAAATGATATACTTAAAAAGACATGCTTAGTGGAAGAATGTGGGAAAATATATGATTACCGTAAATAGCAGTTCAAAAATGAAAAAAATGACCTTAATATATTAATATATATATATATATATATATATATATATGTGTGTGTGTGTGTGTGTGTGTGTGTGTGTGTGTGTGCGAATATCTTATAATATATTATCTTATAATATGTGTATATCTTATAATATATTCTCAATATGTGTGTATATTTATAATATATTATCAATATGTGTGCATATCTTATATTATCAATATGTGTGTACATTTTATATTATCAGTATGTGTGTATATTTTATCTCAACTTATAATATTTATCATCATTTAGTCGTGGTACATATTTCGTTTAATTCCTCGATCAATATCTAAAGAAATATGGACGATAACTGATCAGCTGTCTGTTTTGCTTTTTGAATATTTTCTTGTTTTTTTCTTCCTTTTTCGAACTACCGTTCATAGTCATTATATATGCTTCCCTCTTTCTTCAATTAACTATGTTTATTTTAGTAGCAATAATAAAATTTTGAGCCCCAAATAAGAGTTTTAAATAATAATAATAATAATAATAATATTAATAATAATAATAATTTGGTAATCATTTCACCACAAGAAAGGCGATAAAGCCACTAAGATCCAAGGGGTTACAGAGGGTGAAAGAAACTGAGAAAACATTCTTGAGAAGAAAGGACAATAAAAAGAACAGGATTCAAGGAAAAAATAAGATGGCGATTGACATTGCATCTAAATTTTCGAAGAACGTAGCTGGCATCAACACAATAAACCAGAAGGTAGTTCCACAAAAGAGAAATGTGAGGGAAGAAACCATTAGCATAGAAGTTATGCTTACACTTGGAAATTTCTATAGTAAAATGATAGGACCTAACTACCAATCCAGTACAGCGCTTAAGTTCTTGAAGTCGAACTATGAAAGAGAAAAGCAATATTTATTTTGAATAATACAAAAATGTGGCACCAGGCATAAAGGAAGGCTGGTCTTCAATCTGTCTTATCTTAAATTTAGCTAGCTACTATTACTGACCCAAACATAAACAGGATTTCTTGCACCAAAATAACACATTCTTACACACCATTCTTATTTCAGTCACCATAATACCTCGAGTCTCTATGTAATCTTAACTAGTGTCGATATGTAAAATCTTAACTAGTTTCTATATGTAAAATCATATATTTTATCTGGTAAAATTTGTCTGTGCTCGGGGAATAAATAGAGGAATGATAATCAGAACAGTCACCATGAAAATAATTATAGAAAAGGCATACGTTACAACAATAAAAAAGGAAATGAAGCTAAGACGGTGCAGAACCGAATGCATTTCCACGTCTTCTCAAAAAATACCTCCCTTTCTATTCTCCATTCCGTCTTAATCATTTTTCCCCTGAATTTCGTATGGTCTCTTCCTTCTTCGCAATGTATCGATATTTACTAAGCACGACACAAGGTTAGGTAATTAAATGAAAGCGAGGAGTATTTAGGCCAGACATTCAAGTAAAGAAAGATCTCCTACCTAAAAAAAACAAAAACAGCATTTGAAAGCACCTTTTAGTCTGACCTCCGCTACGAGTAAGACAGATGCAAATATCGATATTTACTAAATTCAGCTTAGTATGTAACAAATGTTATGCTAGTTTTCTAAATGGACAGCTGTATTCGAAGTGTTGATCCTCTCACACCAATAAAAAAGGGGGGATAATTTTCTCAGCCTAGCAGGCGGATCGGTGATCGAATGTATTAACTTATGACAATTGTTTTTATATAAGTATTGACAGCCATAATCTTAACATAAGATATGCAGATGACAGTATTGATATAAGACATGCAAAGAAAACTGCAAAAAATTCTTACAAAACGTAGTGAAGGAAGGCAAAAGGAAAGGATTAAATATCAAATGCGGGAAGACAGAATATACGGTTGTTAGCAAAAGGCTGAGCTCGAAATGCAAATTGCAAATCAGTGATTCCAATATCAAACAAGATTAAATATTTAAAAATCTGGCTAGTGTTTTAACATGTTGAAGCTTGGATAAGCATGGAATAATAATAATACAACACAAAATGTACGTAAACAAAATGTATTGAAACAAGGAAAAGGTACACAATATTTACAGTTAGTTTTGGTATATTCTTGGGAAGACTGTTCCTGTAGAATGGGTGACTTAATTGCAGTCGGACAGAGTCTCTCGATTGGATCTCTTCTTACTTCTTCCCTCGTCTTCCCGGTACCAACCCATATTTATATGGTCGGTACTCCACTATGTAAATTAGGTGGATCGTACCACAACATAACAGAGGACAGAAAGTGCGATATTGAAATCCGAAGGTGCATTGGGATAGCGAAAGATGCCTTCCAGAAGCTAAGCAGATTATTGAGAAACAGGAAAACTTCGTTAGAATCAAGGAAAAGAGTACTGAATTGTTACGTGATATCTGTCCAGCTATAGGACAGTGAATACTGGACAATCTCCTCACAGATAAAGAAGAGACTTGAAGCAACAGAAACGTGCTTCTACAGAGGGATGCTGAGGATACCATGATCCGAAAATATGAGCAACGACAAAGTTTTAGAGAAAACAGAAACAAAAAGAAAACATGCTTAACATCAGAAAGAGACAGTTGAAATTTCTAGGCTACATCATGAGGAAAGATAGCTTGTAAAATCACAGGACAGGTTTAAGGTAAGAAGAAAACAACGTATAACCTATTTAAGAGCTTGAGTAAACGAATGTCGGAACTAGGATTAGAAGAAATAAAACAAAATGGCAGAATTTATTAAGATCTGCAAAGTATAGGAATGTATGGAGAGCCATGCTCGCCTACGCCCTTAGGGGACACGTTACATAAAGAAGAAATATGTCTTTCTGGCTCGGATTGAGGAATCGGAGAGCCGAGTTCAAAATTCTAATTGAATCTATTTACATTCACTTACGTACTAATACCCTTAGGAAAGGTATGAATCCTCTTCTTCCCCCCCCCCAGCTACGGGTAAATATCAAGGCAGACCGGTTTCTATAGCCTTGGCAACTTGTCTACCGCAGAAAGAAATGGCAACCTACCGCGAGAAAAAAAAATGCCTCGTCAGTCGTGTATCGAAAGATACATGATCTCTTAAGAGTGTATCCCGCCTGGGACATAACTGACTTTTAGAGAAGATGCATAAGCATTTTTCTTGCGTAACCACGTAAAATTATAAACGTTCTCTTTTATTTTGTGACATATAATGCTAGGTGTGTCCACCCGATACTCCCCTCTCCATCTGTAGATCCTGTCTTTATTACAGGCTTACGGCCACTTTACATTGACGATTCCACTACAACAATCTTACACATCCACAAATCTACCATTCGTCCATGCATTGAATATCGTTGCCATATCTGATCTGGTGCCCCTGATGTTCATCTCGAGGTTATCGACAAAATCCGAAGAAAGATCTACAATGTAATTGACCTTTCAATTTGAGCCACTTTCTCAGAGACGTGATATGGCTTCCCACTGTCTTTTCTACAAATATTTTCATGACAACTGTTTTGATAAGCTATCTTCCCTGAGGTCCCGACTGCATGAATTTAAGGTCTCGACTACATGAATTTAAGTGTGTTACTAGATTGGAATCTAGGTCCCACCCTTTCACTGTTGAAATAGTTAAATGAAACCGCCACTACTCCAGCAGTTTGTTTTTGTCGCACTTCCCGACAGTGGAACTCCTTTTCACTTACTTGCATTCTCCGATAAATACAATCTACAAAAATTTAAATGCAATCGCCATCTTTTGTTTCCTTGATACCTGTTCTTCTTTTATTATTTCCTCAATCCACTCTATACACAGTCTTTTCCCTCACTTTCACTCTCTGTAACCCCCTGCGGGCTAGTGACACTCCCGCCTTGTGGGGGCTGAAAGTCTTTTTTTAAAAATCACATAAAGTTAAATATCGTCGAGACTAGCGAATACCTAGATGGTTGACTGCTTGGAAATACAGGGTGCTCTAAACTTCGATGTGCGGGTGGTGCAATGGATAATGGCTCGGAATTGTTCATTGGAGAGCCGAGTTCCAATTTAAGTTGTGTTCTTTATATTCACATAGGCGCAAATACCCTTGTGAAAGGTATAAGTGCATCCCTTCTCCCAACGGCTATGGGCTAATTAGTAAGACTTATATGATGAAATCCCTATATTCGCTTTAAAAAATTCTTACAATCTAAAAATATTTTCTGGCTTTAAATAACCTGCAAAGCGTTCATAATGTCCCTCCAGGATGTAAGCAACCATGGCTCTAGATATTTCTTTCCTTTATTATCTGTGAATTGTGATGAATTTGTGTAAAAATTATTGGATGCGCTACTTTCTCAATGGTTTTATAATTCAGTGTTTTCCTTCTCTTAAACTGGTTGCCACTGCTTGCTGCAGATCACTCTTTTATAGGAATCTATAATTGTATATGAGAATGTTGGTACACACACACAGCTGCAGTTGATTGACACAACAGAATCTTCAGAACTCCCATGCTCTTTGATT